TAGTAATATTTTTAACTTTACTTTTATATTCTGGGTACTTTTGCCTGCACATAATTTTCACTGACTGCACTTTTTATCTCAAAAGTGTCCCTAATTTATTTAATTAGATATTTTACCTAATTCAACCCACTAATACAAGATTAATTGCCTAATTATATGCAATTAATTAAATATTTATAGTGATGGATATTATAGCCTACACCTGTGGTAGGAGAAAGTTTTAAAAAGACATGTTTTCCTTCTTCAAAAGTCAAAGGTTTTCGTCTGTGATCAGCATAAATTTTTTGTCTACTTTGAGCTTTTTGCAGATTTTCCTTCATCATCTGAATTTGTCTTGAGGTTTCTTGTACTAATTCTGGTCCCAATAGTTACCTTTCTCCTTTTTCAAACCAATACACTAGAGATCTACACTTTCTTCTATAGAGTGCCTCACATAGAGCCATTCCAATACTAGAGTGGTAGCTATTATTATAGCCAAACTCTATCAATGACAGATATCTATCCCAACTACTTCCTTATTCAAGAATACAAGCTCTGAGCATATCCTCTAAGGTTTGAATGGTTCTCTTAGTTTGACCATCAGTTTGAAAATGATAAGTCATATTAAGTCTTAACTTAGTTCCAAAGACTCGCAGCAAAGATCCCCAAAATCTAGAGGTAAATCTAGACACAATACTTAGAGGTACCCCATAGAGTTTTGACAAATTCTTTTATGTATAATTAGGCTAACCTCTCAATAGAATATTGAGCCCTAATTGGTAAAAAATGGGTAGATTTGGTTAATCGATCAATGATTACCCAAATTGCATCATATCTATCTTGGGTTCTTGGTAAACCCATCACAAAATCAGTGGCTACATTTTCCCACTTCCACTCTGGTATGTCTAATGATTGAAATAATTCTGAAGGCTTTTGATGTTCAATTTTTATTTTTTGACAAACTAAACATTTTGAAACATACTTAGCAATATCTTTTTTCATTCCTGGCCACCAAAACATCTTTTTGAAGCCCTGATACATTTTAGTGGAACCAGGGTAAACTGTGAACTTACTGCTATGTGCCACATCCAAAACTTCTTTTATCATTTCTTCCTTCTTAGGTCCTTTCTTGAAATTTCACCAAACCATCTTCCCCTTTAATAAATTCTTCTTGCTCCAAATTTTTTTCTAACTTAGAATCCTCTTACTGAGCTTTTCTAATTTTGTCTATTAGCTCATTACTCTTATTTCACTAATACCCAAACTTTGAGGCAACGCAATCACAGACAATCTCATATCTCTAAATTTCTCTAATAATTCCATTTCTTTAATCATTAAGTGTGACATGTGAAGAGATTTTCTGCTTAAAACATCAGCCACCACACTTGCTTTTCCTGGATGGTATTTAAGTTCAAAATCATAATATTTTAAAATTTTCATCCATCTCCTTTGTCTCCTATTTAACTCTTTTTTATCTAACAAATATTTAAGACTCTTATGATCGCTAAAAATCTCAAACTTGACCTCATACAAATAATGTCTCCAAACCTTAAATGCAAAAACTACTGTAGCCAATTCTAAGTCATGAGTTAGGTAATTTTCCTCAGAAGGTCTCAACTTTCTTGATGCATAAGCTACAACTTTTCTTTCTTGCATTAAGACACATCCTAATCCTTTTCTACATGCATCACTGTAAACCTCAAATTTTCCTAATGGATATGAAATTAGCAAAATTGGTACAGATGTCAACTTATTCTTCAAATCTTGAAAATAATCCTCACACTCTTGTGTCCAAACAAAAGGAATTTCCTTCCTAGTTAAAGGTAATACTAATTGTGAAAACCCCTTAATGAATGTTCTATAATATCCTGCCAATCTTAGGAAACTCCTGATCTCAGTGATAGTCTTAGGTCTTTCCCAATGCATTACAACTTCATCTTTACTAGGGTCAATCTTCTATATATATATATATATATATATATATATATATATATATATATATATATATATATATATATATTACTTTGACTTCTTTTCTTTCAAATTTTTTTTTATTTCAAGCAATCATTGTATAGTTAGGATCTAACTAAGTGGTATTGATATAATTATTACACATATAAAATATCACAAGCTTTCTTATCTTTTAAGTACATGTGGCACTACCATATTACTATTTAACTACCATATAATCAGATTTTATTAACATACTATTCTACTATTTGTTTTATTTTATTATGATTTATATTATATATGTATGAAAAGATGGCTAAACAATCACACAAGAGGGGGGTGAATTATGTGTTACTTCTAATTCAAGAAACAATTCAAAAATCAACTATTTAACAAGTATATCAACCAAAATGAATTGAAACAGATTGTCAACCTATTTCCCAACACAAAATAGAATTAAAACAATTCTAATAACGTCAATTCAGAGGCAATATGCAGCGGATTAAATTTGAAAGGGAAATAGAAATTTTTTAATGTTTATGCCCACCCTTTTAAGGAAATCATGCAAGAATGAATTAAAACAGAAAAGTAATTATCATAAACCCAAAAACAAATTCAATATGATATATATCAAGAATCAAAACGAAATTCAATTGATATAAATCAAAAGAGATAGGGTAAGGAAGAATCACACCACGATATATCCTGGTTCACTCTCCAACCACTTGAGAGCTACGTCCAGATTGAGATCGATCATTTTTACTATCATCAAGCTTCCAACAAGTGCTTGAAGAAACCATTTTACAACTGGAATTTTACAAGTGTATGATCACACCTTGATCACACTTAACCTACGTCCTTAGAGTCACTCCAATTGTCTCTCCAACAATTACAACAATTCACTCTTGCTAAGCAGATGTAGAGTCACCTCTCTACATTCAAACAAAAAAGAAAGAACAGAAAGATTGAGAAACAAGAGAGTAATTGAGATTTTTCTCAGGAATGTGCAAAAGCAAGCCAATATGGGTTCAATTATCAGATTTCTTTGATTCTGAATTTTTCAGTGTTAATTCTTGTGTTCAAAATCCTAATGATATGTATTTATAGGTGCCCAATAAGTTATTAGTCGTTTACAACCATTGTACATCTAAAAATTTGAATTTATTCGAGTTTAAGTCACTCGTAAAGAAAGTATTCGATTACTTTTCGGGTAGTATTCGAATATTTCTTCAAACCCAGAAAGTATTTGATTATTGTTCATCAAGTATTCAATTACTTTTCTACCCAAAAAAGTATTCGATTACTTTGCAAAAAGTATTCAATTACTTTTATGCAGACATCAGTTTTCATGCTAGTTTTCGAAATTCAATGCATCCTAATGATTTCGAGTAACTTCTAAATGATTCTAAGTGACTTCTAACATATGTATGATCATGTTTCACACTTGCATAACAACTCTTGATGTGTGTGAATATTGTATGTATGATCAAAATGAATATGTGTCACCTATATGAGCTTATAGTTTATTTTTGCACTTTCCAAGATAAAACTCGATAAACTCAATCCTATAAGTTCTATAACTCTAATAAGACTATTAAAAAAATAAAAGGTACATAAGTCTTTATTATCTTCATAGTTTGAGTCTTCTTGTACTTCTTTTAGCTTGTAAACTTTGATTTGAGCTTTGACTTTTCATATTTGAGCCTTCTTTCTATGTTTGCACTTTGTTATAGGTTTCTTGTACCATTTGTAACTTGTTGCCTTGTCTTGTAATGTTAGCTTTCATGTTGAGCAATGTTGGTACTTGTTGTTGCCTTGTTATCATCAAAACTCAATAACATAGTCTTCTTGACATATGGTTCAACAATAATATATATATATATATATATATATATATATATATATATATTACAGTGCCTATGGAATGGCGCTAGGAGCAAATCTTTTAATTCATTCGTCATTTTTTAAATAATTAATTATTATTATATTATATTATTTCAATTATTTTAATATACATTTATTTATTTTCATATTATTATTATTATTTTGAATATTACAATAAGAGATAATTTTATATCTCCTATAAAATAAGAAACATTAATTCCTAAAAAAAATAACCAAATCAATTATTTCTGATAAATTTATTAAAAAGCCTTTCAAACACTCCGCTTCATTTATTTTTTCAAGTGAACAGTCTGCTTCATAAAGGGAGGGGTTATGTAAATATATTAATTTTTTTTATATTTAATAAAAGATGCACTCAATACTAAATATTCCTCTAGCACTAAAAATATATTTTCTTAGAAGCGAAAAGACAAGTTTAGAAAAAGAATAATTTATGAGAAAAGTAATTGTCATTTTAAATGATATAAAGTTATGTCATTTTAAAAGAGATAGACATAAATTATTATTTTTTATTTAAAATTTAAATTAAAAAAAAAATCACTCACTTTCTCCCTATAATTTTCATTTCTTATATCTATCTCCCTCCTAAAATTATATAACTTTAAAATGACATACATCAAAACCAAACGAAGAAAGCAAGGAAAGAAAATAAACCATAACAATAAACCCAAAGTTGACCAACCATTTTCCAAGTATAAAAATCTAAACAAACGTGGCAACGAGTGATCGATCTAAGCACGTTCACAGGGAAAAGCAAAACATGGCTATATAGAATGGATTAGAATTAGAATTAGATTAGCAAAAATGCATAGCACTATCTCTGCGTATAGTATAAGAAGCAAAGCATGTGCACACTAACACAAACACCCTATCTTTATTCAGAGATGTAAATAGAAATCTGTTGACTGTTTCTTTACCTCCAAAATTCATAACGGTAACCAACCTCTCCTTCTTCCCTTAATTTCCTCTCTTCCACTTTTCTCTACCCCAAACCTTCAAACACAGCACAAACTAAAAAACAAAAAGAATTAAAAAATATAGTAACAATTAATTAATTAGTTAATAATAATAATAATAATAATAATAACTTTGCATTCAATTTTACTTCTTTTTGTCAATTGCCATTCTATATTATCCACACGAACCTCCTGCCGCCGATGGCCACCATGGAACGCCGTAAAACGCTGACGATGACCTGGGACGGCCTCGGCGACGATGACGACGACGATCACTTCTTCGAGACCTACAACCGCCTCTCCACCGCCGCTCCTCTCGACTTAGCTTCTTCCTCCGACGACGAAGACGAGGATTTCGAAGACAGCCGGCTGTCGTTCGCCTCCGCCATCTCCTCCCTCCATTCCGCCAAATTCCGAACGAAGACGATCAAAACGCCGGCAGCTTCCGCCGTCCCCAACTACGACATTTGGATGGCCGCCCCTGGATCAATCACCGAACGGAGAAAAAAATTGCTCGGAAGCATGGGTTTGGACGAGAACAAAGAGTCGTTAAAAGCCACAAGCGCTGCAATTGGTCGCGCCATAACAAAGAAGTTCGAAAACAATCCAGAACCTTCTCCTCATCCTTCAACAACAAATTCTGTTACAGGCTCAACCAATTCTGTTACAGATTCAACCAATTCTGTTGCTGCCGTTACTGCTAGTGCTAGTGCTTCTCCCTCTGTTTCCCCTGTTGAACCAAAAACAGAGCATTCCCCTGCTTCGTTTGTTCTTGTTCGGTCACGTTCGTTAGGAGACATCGATTCACTTTCCATGGAGAAATTAAGGAGAGAGGAGTTGATAGGGAAGGTTTCAAAGCAGAGACTAACAAGGACCGCGACGGAGATAGCGGCGCCTCGTGCTCGGTACGCGGACTGCGGCAGGGTGGTGGTGAAGGATTCCGGCGAATCGAATCGGCATTTGTCGTCGTCAGCGGCGGGGGTTTCAGCAGTGGGTGCTTTCTTTCTGATTAAGAGTTTGGATACAGGGAAAGAGTTTATTGTGAATGAGTATGGTGAAGATGGAACATGGAATAGGCTAAGTGATTTGCAGACAGGAAAACAGTTAACAATGGAGGAGTTTGAGAGAACCGTGGGGCATTCATCGGTTGTTAAAGAGCTTATGCGGCGTGCGCATGTGTCTAGGAATGATGGTTATGGGAAAAAGTTGTCATCAAATTCTTACATTTCGAGGAGTTTGAGGCTCAGCAAGAGAAGAGGGGCTTCTTTGTTGAAGAACATAAAGGGTGTGGCGAGTGGGTTCGTTGGTGAACGAGAGAGGGAGGCGCCGGTGGTGCCGCCGGGCGCGGCGGCACCGGTGGCGGAGGCTAAACAACAAGGGAAGAACAAATGGGTGAGAGTTAGGCAAAGTGGCAAGTCAACAAAGGAGGTTTCTGCTTTGCATTTGTGTCAAGAGTTTCAGGCTCATGAAGGTTGCATTTGGACCATTAAGTTTAGTTTGGATGGTCATTATTTGGCAAGTGCAGGAGAGGATAAGGTTATTCATGTGTGGGAAGTGCAAGAATGTGAGGTAATGTCGTTGAGGCCAGAGGAAGGAAATGTTACTCCCATTCATCCTTCATTGCTATCATCCATGGACAGAACCACGGAGGCTCCACCTTTGGCTAAGAAGAAGGGGAAATTTGGAAGCAAAAGAGGGAGTGCTATTCCGGATTATGTTCATGTTCCTGAAACTGTGTTTACCCTCTCTGAGAAACCATATTGTTCTTTTCATGGTCATTTGGATGAAGTTTTGGATTTGTCATGGTCCGGATCTCAAGTAAGCTTTCTTGTTCTCTTGTTAGTATAGAAATTATTTCAATGTTTTATGTGGAGACACAATGAATATGATTTGCCCTTGCAGCTACTTCTCTCATCTTCTATGGATAAAACAGTGAGATTGTGGGACTTGGAAACTAAGACATGCTTGAAATTCTTTGCACATAATGACTATGGTGATATGCTTTTAACTTTGGTCCATCATTTAAATTATGTCCTCTTCTTGGGGAACATGTTGCACGTGAATTATACTTAACTGCTTTTTTTTTTTTCTTGCTCTTTGTTGTTGGATTGGATTTGGCAGTAACCTGTGTACAGTTCAATCCTATGGATGATGATTATTTCATTAGTGGCTCCCTTGATGCTAAGGTCAGAATGTGGAACATATCTGCTCGTCTTGTTGTGGATTGGACTGATATCCATGAAATGGTTACTGCTGTTTCTTACACCCCTGATGGTCAAGTATGCTTTTCTTGCCCTATACATTTCTTACTTGTTGTCATACTTGGTTAGGACAATTTTTATTGACAAAATTTAATAATTACACATTGTATCTGACAAAATTCAATAATTTACATTGACTTTGATCATTGGTATAATTTTTTTCATTGTTGTAGGGTGTTCTAGTTGGTACACAAAAAGGGAGTTGTCGTACTTACAGCATAGAAGGTGTTATTAGAATTCTAGCATATTCTTTCACTCATAATTTGATTTTCTCTATGTTGCTAATTCTCATTTCTTTATGGTGGCCAGATTACAAATTCACTCAAACAGGAACAGTTGAGCTTCGAAACAAGAAGAAATCCCAGCTGAAAAAGGTTACTGGCTTCCAGGTAAATTCTTTTCTCCATGAACAAAAATATAGCATATATGGTTTCCTACCACCAAAAATTGTTTTATGTCAAGAAAGCAAAATAACTAGCTTTGCACCTTTACAGTTCGCCCCATGTAATCCATCAGAAGTGCTTGTTACTTCAGCTGATTCCAGGATAAGAATCGTGGATGGTTCAGAAGTTGTTCATAAGTTTAAAGGTGATACATCATGTTGTCAATATTTTTCCCTTCTACTTGAAAAATGACTTGGTTTAAGCTTTTGCCTAGTTAGCCAATAGAACAGTGTAATTAAGATGTTGAAAAAATCAGGTTTTCGAAATCCAAACAGCCAAATTGCAGCTTCATTTACTACAAATGGAAGATATATCATAAGTGCAAGTGAAGATTCTCAAGTGTATGTCTGGAAGCATGAAGAGCGTACAAGCTCTGGAAAAAGTAGGAGTGTGCTTATTACCCAATCTCATGAGCATTTCCCATGTAAAGATGTTTCAGTAGCAATACCTTGGCCTTGTACCATCAAGGGTGATCCACCACCAGTGCCAGTGCATCATTCCAAAAGGAACTCAAAACGTTCAGATGATACTGCCCCCGGTGGAAACAGTAAGAGAATGTTGCCACCTCTTCCAAAGAAAAACAACCACCATGCCACAGAAAGTGCCCCAGCCTCACCAGAGCATGACCATGCAGCAATTTCACGTACAGAATCTGGAATTGGAGATTCATTTGCAAACAGTAAGAGAATGTTGCCACCTCTTCCTAAGAAAAACAATACTAATGATCAGGCCATTGAAAGTGACTTCACTCCCACAGAAGAAGACCTTGAAGCAATTTCTCGGACAGATACAGGAATAGGTGACTCATTCACTTCAGGTTCTGCATCAATTAGGTATGGTGATTCACCTTCTATATCAGCTGCAGCTACTCCATCATCAGCATCTTGGTCTTCCTCTTATTCTGATAGTAGCCAAGTTACCTCAACAATGCATCCTTCAGCATGGGGCTTGGTAATTGTAACAGCTGGGTTTGGAGGTGAAATCAGGTGTTATCAGAATTTTGGGCTTCCTCGAAGGATGAGTAGGCAAGCTAATCTTTTTGGAGGCCCTACATAACATCTTTTGTCATGGCAAAATTAACTTAGCAGCTTTTTTCTTCCTCTTGAAAGATTGAAAGGAAGGAATGACACGTGATAAATGTAAATTCAGTTTCTTATTAGATTGGCATATGATGTGGCGATTTTGATATCTGTATCCCTTTGGATAGTAAGCCACGTGAACATTATAGAACAAATACAAGAAGTGCAAATGATATTCAAACTCGACAAACGAAGGGAAAGAAACAATGGCAACATAAGATTAGAGACATTTCGTTAAGCATCTTTGTTTTCTGTTTGCTTGCATTTATATCCTCGATCATTTAACTGCATCTCATCTTTATGTGTTTCGGGTTAAACCCGGATTATTTCGTGGGCTTATGAGTTTGAAACCATGATTGTAACCAGTCAACATAACCTCTTGCAATTGACATGATCATGTCCTTGATAAGTTCCCTTAATCCACTGTTTATCTTAATAACTGTCCATAATAGCTAATATAAGTAGATAGGCAATACTAAATGAGGGACGAATGACATTTGGCCATCAAAACTCAAACTTATTCACTCATTAAATTCTTACCTTATCAATATTGATCAATTTAGTCCAAATACTTATCCATATATTCAAGTTGGTGTTCACTTCGAACATTATGTATCTTTGTAATGTTGTAGGGTGTGTGATCTATATAAAATTGTTAGATTAGTCTAGGCAAAATAAAAGAATGAAAATTGACAAACACGAGGGAAAATACAAGAATAGAAACATATACAATCGAGCATATCCTTGTTCTTCTTAATTGAAGTCTTGCAAAAAAAAAAAAGGTGATTATATTGGGGAAGCTGAAATTCATTTGATTCTTATCGTGTCTCTTTGTAAGATATTTTGTCCCTGTATACTAATTATCTCAAAAGATTAAGTCGTGAAGTGAAATTACATAAATAATTTTGCCTCTTAACGCAAGATCAAACATCGTTTTTATTTAGAAAATGGGACAAGCAAGATCAAATTCTAAGCCGCTTTAATCATAGAAACTTTGATAAACTTGAAGTTGCTAGATGTACGAGTATGAATTATTATTATTTTATTATTAGGGGAGGGTTATATTTACAAATTTTTTATTTACAAACTCTTACAAACTACACTATGTTCTTCTGTCCGGGAGTACATAGTGTAATTTGTAAAAATTTATAAATTTTTTTTTGTAAACGGATCCTTCCCTTTATTATTATAGTATTTTTTAAATTCTTTTTTGGTTCAAGAGAGGATGTATCTATACGGTGGGTCAAGAAACCCCACAAGGAGGGAGAGAGAGAAAGGAAACAAAAGTAGAGTGCATCACAGGGATTAAACATTTCATTATATATCTCACGAGTCACAACTTTACCTATACATCCCTAATATTTTAAATAAGGAAACCGAGGAGGGATAGAGTTATTTGTTTGTTTGTTTTTTAAAAGAAAATGTTTTGGTTTTCGCTCATTTGTTCTTGGAGGAAAAAATATATTTAAGCCCTCTAATTTTGTTTGTTCTTATTAATTTTTTTTCTTATTTTTTCGGTGTAAAACTGATCTTTGTTCGAAATATTAAGATTGCATATTTTTATGAGAGAGGTTATACTTATCACCTATTTTTGTTTACAACATCTTACGATCACATCTTAACCGTTGATTTTTACCAATCAACGGTTATCATTAATTGCGAATTAATAATTAATTAATAAATTTTATTTGCAAAAATCTTAACTGTTGATTGACGGAAATCAACGGTTAAGATATGGATTGTAAGAGGTTGTAAATGAAAATAGGTTGTAAGTATAACATTTCCGTATTTCTATAAGTCAAATCATAATTAAAGTAATACAATAATAATAATATTTATTAATATCATTATTATGCTAACAAATATTAATAATTTTTAAATTCTAATGCTGTCATATTCAATTTTATTACTTTAGCGATCATCTGAAAGATGTCATTATGTGTGATGATATTATTACAATAAACGACAACCCTGGTTTAAGAGAATCAGATTAATGTTTTTCATATTTTAAGAAATAAAATTATCTTTAATATATATATAAAAATGTATGGACTCTATGTGAGAATCATGTAAAACAAAAAAGAGAGATAAAAAAAATCACGGGCTCCACATAAATTTGTGTGTGTAGGAAATAATTTTATCTCCTATAACATGAGAAATATTAATTTCTTAAAAGAATGTATATTATTTCTTACAACATGATAAATAATAATTCATTAAAAAATTATATTTAAAAAAACATCTTGACATGCATAAAAATACAATATCTCAAGGAAATAATTTGGGAAAAATAATATGTTAAAAGAAAATTAATACTCGTTATAAAAAAGGTAAAAAAGAAAAGAAAAAATATTTGTCTTTTTAAAACACAATAATTTTATTTAAAATTATTATTATTTTATATATTTTTAATTCTTTTTTAAAAGTACTATTTAAAACTATTATTTTTTATTTAAATTTTAAAAAGAACTCTCATTTTTTTCACCATAATTTTTGTTTCTTTCACTATAAAAAATACATTAATTTTAAATAATCTAATTTTATGTTATTTAAAAGAATAAATACTATTAAAAAAAAGGACATAAATAAATAATTGGGAAAATTTTACCAATGTTCATGTGGTTTACTTCAGAATCACTTATGCCCATTTGGTTTTTTCTTATCACATATGACCTTGTAGTTTGTAAAAAGGTATGTTTTTTATCACATATACCCCTGTGATTTTTTATTTTTTACAAAGCACAAGGACATATCTGATAGGAAAAAAACTACAGGAGCATAAATGATTTTGAAGCTAATCACAGGACATCGGTGAACTTTTCCCTAAATAATTTAAACAATCTAAATGAAATTACCACGACGTCGTTACATTCTCGCATGACCAAGTTCAATTCAAATTGCAATTCCCGCGTTCTCCTTCGTTACAACATAAAATGGAACTTCATCTACTTCATCGCGATTGCGAGCTCCCAAATCTGAATCTCACACCGAAACCCTAGAAAAATTTCTTTCCCTCTTCGACCTTCAATATTTCCCAATTCCGAACCCTAAATCTCAGAATATGTCGTCGCCGATAGCCTACCCCGTCGTGGTTGACGACAAGGACCTCGACGACGCCGCTTTGTGGGCAATGATCGATTCCGCCACCGCCTCGCATTCCTCATCCAAGAGCAAATCCCTCGCCATCAAGTACTCCGATCGCCAATCCCCTTCTCCCATCTCGAAACCCTCGCTGCAGCCGCCGCAGAAGTTCCAGAGGATCTCCCGCGACTCCGGTGAAGTGGTGCACGAGCCGTGGGTTTACCGGCCACCGAGGAAGGTGGCTAGAGTTTGTCCTTCCGGTGAAAGCAGCCCTCTCGCTTTGGTCAGAAACGTGCAGAGGATGCCGGCGGCGGAGGCTTATTCCTCGCCGGAGATCGGGAAGGTAAACGGAGCGCATGAGCTGAGCAGTTTCACGGAGGTTTCGCCGCAGTGTTTCGGGAGGAACGAGGAGGAGAACGTGACCAGCATGAGGCACAGCTTGTCTGGAAGGTTTCCTTCAGTTTCGCTGTTTAAGGAGTACCAGAATGCAGCTATGGCGGTAACTGTTCTCATTCATTTGCTTCCGTGTTCGGATTTAGGCTCAAACTTTTTACTTGAACATGCTATCTGCTCGAACCGGTAAAGAAGAATTTGAACAATGTAACAAAGATTTTGTGGTGAAATAAAATGGAATCGAGCATATCAGTCGTTACCGTCTAAATTGTTTAAAATAAGATTATTGAGGCATTTTCTTCTGAAGCTTGCTTAGAATGCATCATATCAGATTATCCAAAAAATAATTTCTCCTGAGTTTTATGTCTTTTATCTGCCATTAATAAGAAAGCTTGTTATAAGCCACTTTTTACATCCTGTGCTTATTCTGAACAAATTATTGCATGATATAAGCCACTTATTTGGATAGCCCAACTGCTTGAAAACAATGTTTTCTTGACTTGGCCTGCTTCTGGATAAATTCATGGCATTTAATCTTTGGTATTCTATTAATCCTTTTTAAGTAGTACTTGTAACCAGAGGCATATGAGCAGATGCTCTAAGTTTGAATTTTAGTATTTTATAGCTGTAGCACGCTGCAACATGTGTTTGCCTTTGTTTTTGCATATAAATACGCAATAATATTTCCAGTCTCCGCAGTAATCTATTCAAGTATCTGAAGAGAGTTCTTGTGGTGCCATTATTTTATTTCACCTTGGATTTCACGTAATAAATCCTTTGTTGTGCCTTCAACGGACAGATTTTGGAGAAAACTGATTACACTTTGATTTCGGGGAATCCTTTCATTAAAAAGTCAGGTAAACAAAGTTTGTCTTCTCTTAACTGGGAAAATGATACAGTAGATGTAACATGGCGCATGTGTTTTTCATAGGTTGGAGAAAGATATCCTGTTTCTTCAATATTTCTTTTGAAATCAGAGACAAAAATATCGAGTTTGATGAGAATCGCAATGTTCAGCGAGCTGAGTTTGTGATTCGTGCATACATGCAGTACGTTTCTTGTTAGGTAGTTTCAATTAATTCATCTTCTAATGATCTCTATTCTGACCACAATCACTGGCGTTGCTATTGATTTTTTTACATCAGGGGTGGCAGGTTCTCAGATGGATGGGGTTCTTGTGAGCGACGCGAAAAGAAATTTCAGAAACCAAATCATGATATTCCAAGCACAGCAGAGACTAGAGCCAAAAATAAAGCTTGTCAAGTACATTATCTTTATCATGTTATATTTTTATGAATTATATTTTCAATCATTTGGTGTGACTTTCTATTGCCTTTAGCTATTTATTTCCCACGACAGGTGGCGAATAAGTAGCTTCATAAAGCCACTTTCTACTGCCTTTGGCAGCTTCCATCTTATGAGCTTGCAGTTTACCAATGTGTAACTGTGCCTCGAGTAAGTCTCGTGCGCTTTGTTTCTGTTGTACTTCTGTTATAACAGCTAGTGTATAGTTATGAATGGTTATAGATCTGTTAGGGTTCAGTTAGGGTACTGTTGTTGTGAACTGTAAGCGTATGGCTGCTTCAAGAATCAATGACTATCTCTATACATTAATACGAGATTTTTCAACATGCTTTATCCTCACTCACACACTTTTTGGGAAAACTTCCTAGGAGGTCACCCATCCCAGAATTACTGTAATGTTCCGGGTTACCGAAAAGTAGATGCATCTAGTTAGTATAGGTAGTACCAATTAATTCTTATAAGCTATCTCCAACTGTGTAGTCTCATACCTGCACAGTCTTTGGAATCCCTTTTTTTCGGGTGTCGATTCGATTCATTCATGTACCTCCGGCTGGAATTTTGCCAGGAGCCGCTCCTTGTCTGTGCCCTTTCGCACCATGTCCTTTCGCACCGGCGATCACTCTCCGTCCTCGTCAGCGCTCGGGATGTTACATGCCTACCAGCTTCCGCCTGGTTCGTCCTCGAACCACATCGTTCTGGAAGAGAAGCCCTGCTCTGATACCACCTGTAACGCCCGGTCGCTTCAAGAATCAATAACTATCCCCACACTAAAATGAGACTTTTCAGCGTGCTTTATCCTCATTCACACACTTCCTGGAAAAACTTCTTAGGAGGTCACCCATCCCAGAATTACTGCAAGTCAAGCACGCTTAACTATGGAGTTTTTCCGTTCTGGGCTACCGAAAAGTAGATGCATCTTGTTAATATAGGTAGTACTGATTAATTCTTATAAGCTATCCCCAATTGTGCAGTCTTATACCTGCACAATCTTTGGAATCCCTCGCTTTCTGGTGTTTATTCAATTCATTCACGTACCCTCTGCTGGAAGCTTGCTAGGAGCCGCTCCTTGTATGTGCCCTTTCACATCGGCGATTACTCCTCGCCCTCGTCAGCGCTCGGGATGTTACGTGAACACTTAAATTTGTCCTAGATATAAAACTGGTAAAAATAAAAAAAATAAAAAAAAAATAAAGATCCAATTTTATTCCTTTCTAACTAATATTAGTTGGTGTATCAGATTAATACAAGGGATTTAATTTTCTCATGTCGCATAAGAATTGAATTATCATGTTGTGACTCAACTAGTGGTGGGCTCCACATTTATTAAAAAAAGAAAAAAAATTTACACGCAAATCGAAGGGTCACAACATGAGAATTGAATTCTAATGTAACATGAGAAAATGTTTTTCCTTTATATATATATATATATATATATATATATATATAATTGAGAAGTGGATTAAAAAGATGATGAAAAAAAAAATTCAAAAAGAGGGGATGATTATAATAGCCAGTAAACTTTTTGCTTGATATGTTTTGTCTTTTTCTTTTAGTCAACATTACTTGTTTTTTATCCTAAAAGAAAAAAGAAAAAAAAAAGAGAACGGTGAAGTTTGGCAGAGAGCAGCACTAAGAAAAGCAAATGAAGAATAGTGACATGCCTTGGGTCAAATTTTCTCTTCTTGGTTTACAGATCAGGCAATCATAATCAGGACACAATTATTTAATGGTTAAGCCACAAATAGAAATAAGACGGATGAAACTCCCGATAGCTCAGTTGGCAACTGAGCTCTCAAGGATTTGTTTGAGTCAGGGGTTTAAACTCTGTCTCAAGTAAATTCTTGAAAAATCTTTGGGAGCTAAAGGATGTGCCTCCTTTCTCGAATGAAGGATTAGTCTCATTCTTCTTTCGGTAGCGAAGCTCAATGCACCTGCTGTTCCAATGAGAGACTAGCTACACCTGAGGGCAAGGTGACCGGAGGAGATTGAACGGGGATACCTCCAAGTTATACTGAAAAAAAAAAGAAAGACAGATGAAACAAGGGAAAAGAGCTTCAAAGAATAAACAGCAGAATAGGGGTGTAGGACTCTGCGCAAAAGGGCATTGCATCCCATGTAGACGTCTGATCCATACCCACCAATACAAGGGAGATAGGGATAGAAGGGGAACAATAGCAGAAGACAGGGAAAGTTGAAAACCTAGAGATGAAGGAAGAAAACATTGAAGAGAGAAATTTGAAAACAACGTAAACCTGGCATCATTCTGTGCAACAACAGGGATCAAAGTCTCATCTCGGGGACTGTTAGCGTTAAGGATTGTAACATCGTTATATAAGAAGTCAAGAAGAAAATAAAAAGGGGGACTGCATAAAGGAAAACAGAGGGAGAAGAAGGGAAGGGTTTCGGTAAGTTGAAAAACAAAAGGAAATTTTAGAGAAGAAGCTTAGAAGAGATACACTGAAAGAAGAAAGAGAGGAAGAGACACACACTTGGAGAGAACCAAACAAAAAACACAAAAAAAGACTTTAAAAAAGACACTTTGGCTTTATATTAAAGCTTGTGTCATAATGATATTTTTTAAAGATACCTGGGCTTGGGATTAAAACCAAGCTAGTGTCATAATAAAATTTTCATTTTTGAGTAGAATTAGATGAGTTTGTTAATTTAGTCGTGACGACTAGGGGTGTCAATATGGGTTTTGACACGCGGGTCGACCCGCGACACGACACGAAAATTCGTGTTCGGGTTGACCCGTAAAAAAATTCGTGTCGTGTTGGAAAAAATGACACGCAAAAAATTCGTGTCGTGTTCGTGTTTATGAATTCGTGTTCGTGTCGACCCGTATTATTTTTAATTATTATTTTTTTTATTTTTTTATTATTATTATTTTATTATTTTCTTTATTTTCGATCTATTTTTTAAATTTTTTTTGTCAATTACCGTTTTGTCCCCTATTTTGCGTGTTATTCGTGTCGTGTCGTATCAACCCGCAAAAAATTCGTGTCGTGTCAGTGTTGAAGATTTTGACACGAATGAAAATTCGTGTCGTGTTCGTGTTGATGTATTCGTGTCGTGTCGAATTCGTGTCGTGTCAAATTCGTGTCGTGTCAACCCATATTGACACCCCTAGTGACGACTTATTAACTTAGTTATCTCTGAGGATTAATTTAGCCGTGACGGCTTGTTAATCTCATAGTACATTTTTGGGGTATCAAGCTTGTTGAGTTGAGGCAGTTCTCCACAATTTGGCTCCGTACATCAAGTTTTGTCGTCTTTGAAGTAAGTCTGCTTACCTTCTCCTTTAGTTAATGATTGTATATTTTTTTATGCTTTTTCATGCTCTTTATTTGCTTTATTAGTTTATAATTGTCTGTTTTTTTATGCCCTTTATTTCTTTTTTTAATTTATAAGTGTCTATTTTTTGCATGCTTTTTTTTATGCTTTTTATTTGTTTTATTAAAAATTTCCTTATAATTGTTTATTTCTTTTGTATGTTTTTGTGCTTTTTATTTGTTGTATTAGAATTTTTCTTATTTAATTTAGAAACTTAATTAGAGATTAATTTAGCCTTGACAGCTTATTAATCTTATAGTTTTTTAGTTCATTTTGGCTGTGACAGCTTGATGACTCAAGCTAGTTTTAAATTATTATTTTTCTATTAATTTATTTATTTTTCTAATTAAGGATTAATTTAGCTGTGACGGCTAGTTAATCTCATAGTATTTTTCGGGTTATTTTAGTTGTGATAACTTGCTAATCCGAAGCCTTTAAAATGAATTTTTTAATATTATTTTCAAAAATTAAAACAAACTAGTACACAAATATTTTTTAAGAACGATGTAGCTTTGAATTCTTCAATTTCCTTATCCTTCACTATTTTCGTCCCAAGCTTCACCTTTTATTCAACCAACAGAAACACCGTCTTTGCCCATTTCCATCATTCCTACAATGTTGCACCTCACCATATTCCAATTGTCTCCTGTAACATCCCCGTCTCGAGCCGGTTCAATTAACATACATATGATACAAACAGAAACAACGGAAGACTTAACTTACGAAAATACGAGTTAACTTTTTCTTTTTCAAATTAGGCGTAAACGAAAATCGGACAAAGTAACCTCTGTAAATTGGACAACTGGGGATTTTCCAATCCCACTCCCAAGAGTTCCTGATAGACAGTTTAAACAATATATATCTCCAGAAGTACCAGTCATGCAAATATACTCAGATACCTATCTATGAGCGCATGCAGAACCTGGCTCCGTGCCACTAATCTAATAGCATGCAATCCAATACATAACATAACTGAATACTACATAGTCATATCATCATGCCCGAATACATAAATGTACATGTATCGAATATGAACACTATGCAACAATACATCTGTTCCAAAAATACGTCTAGAACAAATAGTAGCCTACGGTCACCCAGAACTCCATATCCTCATACTAGTACCTCTAGCCACGGTTAGTGTCCTTGTCCCATGAGGCTCTTCAATTAACTGTGTTCCTGAAATCATATCTCCAAACGGGGTTATAGACGAATCTCTAGTAAACTTCAGGTTTATGGAAAACTCTCGATACCCGGGGCTCACTTCCTGCATGACAGTCAGATACATAATATACAAAACATCATATAAGCAATTATCATAACTGAACAAAGCATATATACATATCTTATCAAAAACATACGCAGTCATTCCCAAGGGATGACCCCAAGCGGAAATCAACGCACGTAACAAATATCATTTACAAAAATCATCACAATATTCACATCAGAACAAAACGTGTTATATCAGAGACGTACGCAATCGTTCCCAAGGGATGATCCTAAGCGGAAATCAACGTACGTAACAAATATCATTTACAAAATCATCATACATATCCCATAAAACATGTCATATAATCAAATATCATAACTAAACAAAACATATACACATATCTTATCCGAAACGT